CACACACACACACACACACACACACACACACACACACACATCCAGGGATGGCGGAAAATGAAGAGAGCAACAGTAAAGAAAAGCAATGATGAATACATATATTGCCGCACACACATGTTGGTCATCAGCTATCATCAGCTTCGTATAAGAAAATCGTATGCAATACCAGATGGCGAGGGTAGGAAAACATATACCTGCATGGTGCCCAGTTCTGCAGCAAATGCACTGCCAACTCGACCAGCGAGGATGATAGCTGTCACCACTGGGGATAGTTCCCTCGCCAGCGCCAGTGCCAGAACTCCACCGACCGATCTCGTCAAACCAAGTCTCGCAAACTCTCGAATAAACTGGGGAGAACACAACATAGATGCATTTCATTATTTTTCATATCAGTAAACCTCAACATACCTCTCACCCTTGCTGACCAATCTTTTAAGAACTGTTAAAAGCTTTTTGCTTTTTGGCACTTTTGCTTTCTTTTTTTAATGTCATTCCTCTGGATTCGAATTTGGGTCTTTATTTCAACAGTTTTTTTATGGGTGTACCAACTGAGCTATAGAACCGTCTTCTTTCTTTTTCCGTTTTCTGAAGTTTTTTTTCCCCTTTTTTGTTTGCTTGTTTGCTTGTTTGTTTGTTTGTTTGTTTGTTTGTTTGTTTGTTTGTTTGTTGTTTGGTTGGTTGGTTGTTTGTTTGGTTGGTCGGTTGGTTGGTTGGTTGGTTGGTTGGTTGGTTGGTTGGTTGGTTTGTTTGTTTGTTTGTTTGTTTGTTTGTTTTACAGGCACAATAAAAATATAATGAAAAAGAGGTTAACACCTAGGCTACCAGAGTGGCCCGGGACCACTTGCCCGGCTGGGCCAAAAAAAAAAAAAAAAAAAAAAACAARAAAATTATTTTGGGTTTCACGCCCTAGTACCGGTAACGGTTCAGGCCCTGCCCTCCTTTTTTTTCCCAGGCCACACTTGGACCGTCAGATTCGATCCAAGTGTACGGCCAGATTGTTTCCCAGTCCATTCATTCTGGGCCTCACGTTTAGGCCAGTTGGACCTAGGAGAGGCCAGACCAGTATTTATAGACTGGTCTGCCTCTCACTCGGGAGGTTAGTGTGAGTTAGTATTCAGCGTTAGTCTTCAGCGCTGGGCGCAGTGGCGGTAGGTTAGAGGTAGCGAGCGTGGAAGCTGTAGTGGAGACTGCAGCAGGAGTGAGGCGGACGCCAGACACTGGGACTCACCTGATGACTCACCTGGGGGCGCCATAGCTCCAGCTTCGTCTTCAGCACTCCAGTACCGACGTCAAGGCAAGACCTTTACATGGTCGCTATCTGGTACCAGCAGAGAGAGAGGGAGAGAGAGGATTCTTCTTCTTCTTCTTCTTCTTCTTCTTCTTCTTCTTCTTCTTCTTCTCTCCTCTGGACCCCCTCCATCCTCCATCGCTCAGTCTTCTACTTCCGTCTGGATGAGAGAGAGAGAGAGAGAGAGAGAGAGAGAGAGAGAGAGAGAGAGAGAGAGAGAGAGAGTTATCTGAGATCTGAACTTGGGGACACTCGGGCAATTGCCCTGCTCTGGTATTTCGGGCAAAGACCTGTTTTTGGACGTTGTATTGAGACTGGGACTTCGGGGACATTCGGGATTGGCGACAATGGCGACTTGATCTCTCGCCCCTCTCTTCCCCCTTCGTCTCCATCTCCCTCCTACTTCGTCTGAGGATGATCAGGGGACAACGCCCCTTCCTTGTATGCTGCCCTGCCCCCTTCTCACCGTGTGATGCATGTATGAGTGTGCATTGTCCATTCTCGATAATGCTGTGTCAGATGTATGTTCAGTCTTCCGCTGCGTTTATATAGTCTCTTGCTTTGAGTCGCCTCCTTGGATTCGCGCTATACTTGTCATGTTTGGATGTGTATTCAACATAATACTCCGACCCTTCTTCCCCTGAATGATACGGCGCATCCACACCTAATCATGACCGTACACAAGCTATCTGGTCCCGCCTTCCCCACCCTCATCATGAATGTGTGGAAGCTGAATTATGCATTTACATATTGAAGGCTTACCTCTACTAAGTACTTCAGTAGCAGACGTATTTGGTGGCTTTCTTGGTTCACATTCTGGTCTGTGTTTCATAGCTTTTTTATGAGGTTGTGTACCGTTGTGATGAGGGTGCATTGTGTTTGGACGAAGGAAATAGCTAATCAACACAAGAAGCATGTTCCAACGCATACGTAGCAACCTTACCTCACCTGAATGGTGAACACCATACCGACAAACGAAGCCGTCAGCAGACTGACACCAACTGACTTAGGCCCAACTTCTTCCAGCTGTATAAGGGTGTTCTTTACGTGCACGCGCCCTCGCAAAATTCGCACGAATACCTGCAGAACCACAAATGAAACAGGGCACCATCGACGACGGAATCTGTGTCACTGCATTAGAAACACCGAAATCGTTCGGCCTTTCGCAGTTCGAACAACAACAAAAAAAGCAAAAAACAAACACATGCCAATTTCTATCCCCAAGTTGCAGCTCCCCAAGTTATTGCCCCTTATTGCCCCTTGGGACATTTAACTTTGACGTTTCTGGGCACAATTTCGGCATTTTCTGAACCGAAATCGTCAGGCCTTACCGGCTTCCTGGCGAAATCGTCAGGCCTTACCGGCTTCCTGGCAGTAGGGCCTGACGATTTCAGTTCACCGAAATGCCAAAATTGAGGACAGGAACGTCAAAGTTAAAAATTGACGGAAACCTTTGTACGAGACGAAGTAGGTGGGGGCAGCATTTCAGCGCTAGCACTGGTGTGTTAACACTCGGTCCTAACGCTGCTTGCCGGTTCGGCAGGCTTGACCAATGACGTCGGCCCCATCGAGGAACTTTCGTCGTAGGTGACACCTCACAACCTTCGTTTTGACGAAGACCTATGGCTCGGCCATAGCCGATTGTGTCAGTGGTCAGATTTTTCGTCGTCACCCACCTGCCAGTAAGAGAAACTCTAACAGTAAGAGTGGAGTGAATCAAGTATGGCGTAGTAATTAGCCCGGAGAAAGGAGACCTGCGCACAGTATTTTCCCAGCCTCAAGATGGAAGCGGAACCACATCCTCCACCGCAGGGGACAGGCGACGCCAGAGCTCAGGTGTTACATCTTCGACGCACACGGGTCCTACCGGACCCGACTTAGGGCCGGAGGGACACATCAGGGCCTAAAAGCCCGACCTTGGGGTATTACAGGCCCTCAGGGCCTGATCTTGGACCAGTACCCGACGGGCAGGCCCAAACGGCATTATCGTTTGGGCCTGGCGGCGCTCTTGAGGCTGCCGCCCGCCRGTTGGGGCTGAACCGTCCATCTGGACGGTTCAGGGCATGGCCAGGCCTCGCAGCATTGAGGCCGGCCTCTGCCCCACCGGTATAAAGTACCGGTACAGCCTYACTTGGAGGCATCGACCTACCGGCACTATACCGGTACGGTATGGTCAGCGCCAGAGCGCTGTTTTGATGCGCTAATATAGCGCAGGAGCGAGCGAGGAGCAGCAGCGGCAGC